TCTTCCTGTCCTCTCTTCCCTTTCCTTTACCTCCTGTCCTCTCCCCTCCCCTCCCCCCTCTCTCCCTCACTTCTTCCCTTCCTTCCCTCCTCACACTGGGAATTGAACGTAGGGTGGCAAGCCTGGCAGGCACCTGCAAGGCTTCCCTCAGCAGGCTGCATCCCAAGTCCTCTGTTTTCTTACTGTTAGTCATTCTGACAGGAGTGAGATGGACTCTCAATTTCAATTCGCATTTCCATGATGACTAAGGATAGGAAATAGTTTTTAATATGTTTATTGACCATTGATACTTCTTTGGTTGGAAAGTGTTCAGATCATTTGCCAACTTACTGATTAGATTATTTGTGATTGTGCTGTTTACTTCTTTGAATTCTTCATGAATTCTGGTTACTCACCCCATGTTGGGTGAGTGGCTGCATAGACTTCTCTCGTTCTGGAAGTTGGTTGTCTCTTTGCTGCTAACTGCTTCCTTGCTGTACAGAACCTTTTAATTTGATAGAATGCCATTTGTCGGTTCTTGCTATTACTTAAGGTATTGAAATCCTATTCAGAAATTCATTGTTTCTGCTTATATCTTGACATGTTTCGTCTGGTAGCATCTTAGTTTCAGGTCTTATATTAAAGGTCTTTGTTTTTTAAATGGTTTTTGTACAGGCTGATGCAGAAAGGTTATTTTAGAGGTTTTCTAGTTTACCAAATCATAATATTTAATTTTTCCTAAATCTCCTTTATTCTAATTAAGTGCATTTTTCCTATGTAAATCTGTGGCAGAATAGTTGCCATTATTTACATTCTGGGAGAGGTTACTGCATGTTGTATAATGTTGTGGAGCTTTTGAGAATTAGAATTTCAGCCTAGGTATTAAGTCTCATAGCCACACTCAGTTGTTCAATATAAGAAAGAAACCAAGAAGTTTGCTTACAGCATACAACCAGGTGAAGGAGCCAATATTAAAAGAAAAGGGTGCAAATTAACATTTATTAGCGGACTAGTCACAGATTCACAGGATTTAATGTAAGAGGGAAGAACTCAAGGTTATTTACTCCGAGGAGAAAAACAAACTTCTCAAATACGAGATTAAAAAGTAACCAGTGTAGCTGGAGTTTTCCTGCCTGGCCCACAGTCAGGACAAATCTCTCTCACCCGCCAGTCCCACAGCCGCTCAGACCCGACCAAGTAAACACAGAGACTTATATTGCTTACAAACTGTATGGTCGTGGCAGGCTTCTTGCTAACTGTTCTTATATCTTAAATTAATCCATTTCTATAAATCTATACCTTGCCACGTGGCTCATGGCTTACCGGCATCTTCACATGCTGTTTGTCATGGCAGCGGCTGGCAGTGTCTCTGACTCAGCCTTCCACTTCCAGCTTTATTCTCCTCCTTGTCCCACCTATCCTTCCTGCCTAGCCACTGGCCAATCAGTGTTTTATTTATTGACCAATCAGAGCAACACATTTGCCATACAGAACATCCCACAGCAAACCAGTCCAGGCAGAAGAAGGAGCCCTCATGGCCTGCTGTCACAGTTCCCGTGAAAACACAGCCCAGATGGACAGTTCCTCATCCAGCACTGACAGACTCACCTAAATCACAGTTCTCTGTTTTTTATTCAGCCCAGGTGCCATGCTATCAGTAAAGCTGTAACTACAAGTCTCCAAGGTCAGCCTTGTCTCAAGCTTATGTTGCAGGAAAGTATCTTCAATGACATTTGTCCGAGGGCACGTTCCAAAGAACCTTCCTGGGTCTCTCCAAGACTTTCAAAGTCTCGCTATGGATTGTTTTTTTTTCTCTGAATGCCTTTCTTAATTTGGTAATTTTGGAGAGGCTGGGAATGAGCCCAATGACTCTGGCTCTTTTATATTGAAGGGTTCTTCGGCTGTGGCCTCCTTTACTAGCAAGAAGCCCCCTCCCCAGCACCAGCTTCTGTGTTTTTTTCTGGGCATTCCCTTAGGTAGAGAACATTCTGTACATAATCATGCTTTCTACTCTTCACGCTCACCCCGATGACAGTGCCACTGAGCTTTCTGGCACGCCGCGGCAAGGATCTTTCTTCTCCCTTCTGATAACTGTACACTCACCTTCCTTTGAGTTCTCAGTGGCAGGCTCCTTTGAGGGCCAAACGACGTCAGCTCACAGTTCCCAAGGCTGAGGTAGACGCCGAAGGAGCTTAGCACTGGAAACCTTCAGCCTCTATTGAAAGGTTTCTGTATCCCGAAATTGAGTTTCTCCGCCGATGCAATAAATCAGATCAGGCTGAATTAAAGTCCGGGTTTAATCTGAGCAAAGCATTCCTGGGTTGCTGTGGGATGTTCTGTATGTCAAATGTGTTGCTGATTAGTCAATAATTAAAACACTGATTGGCCATTGGCTAGGCAGGAAGTGTAGGCGGGACAAGGAGGAGAATAAAGCTGGGAAGTGGAAGGCTGAGTCAGAGAGACACTGCCAGCCGCCAAGATGAGAAACAGCATGTGAAGATGCCGGTAAGCCACGAGCCATGTGGCAAGGTATAGATTTATAAAAATGGATTAATTTAAGCTGAAAGAACAGTTAGCAAGAAGCCTGCCATGGCCATACAGTTTGAAACCAATACAAGTCTCTGTGTTTACTTGGTCGGGTCTGACGGCTGTGGGACTGGCAGGTGAGAGAGATTTGCCCTGACTGTGGGCCAGGCAGGAAAACTCTAGCTACAAATGGTGTCCAACGTGGTGGCAAGAGTTTCCACCTAAAAACCTGAGAAAAGATTCTAAAACGGAGCTAAAAACAGTTCCTAATTGTCTCTCTCAAATGAGCGGCAGCTGCTGGTTTGAGCTACTGGTGGGTTCCTAGCGTGCGTGCTCGACCTGCCTATGGCGGGAATGAGGCCTTTGCAAGTGGCACTTTGAGCTGCATAGTGGATTTAGCCTTTGCTGGTGCAGAGCAAAAGGGGAGGTTTCTGGGCTACACGCTGCTTGGCTAAAAGCATAGACCCCCAATAGCTCCCAGAGCTGGCGGTAAACCATGGCCATGTTGGGAAGCTGAGGTGGGTGGATCCAGCAGCCACAGCTGCTGCAGTTTAAGGCAATAGATTCACAATAAGACAGATTCAGATGTAATAGTTTACAATGTGTGTAAAAGATACGTAGGCTTGAAAGAGACAAAAAAGATGATATATAGAGTTATAGAAACAAATACATAGTTTTAAAAAATAAAGTCTTTAAAGAGACAGTAAAGGTAGTATAAAAAATAAGCCACGTAAAAATGGATATTACACAGAGAATCTGCATTGTGTTGTCTTTGGGACTTTTAACTGCAGAAAAACATTTGATTGTAAAAGCTGTTGAGTTATGCCAAAATGTATATTTTAAAGGTACCTTGACTTCAAAATTTGGATATAAGGATATGTTACTTTGGAAAGGAGACTCTGCTTTTGTTTCCACAGAAAGCCAGAGGCTATGGATTTGTTCCAGATTAAGACACATCAGGTTTGACCAGCCAAGACCCCCTGAAAGGTCTCCGATGACACCATGGCCCAGATGATCCAACATCCAGAATGGTTTGAAGGCAACTGGCTCAGACGATACACCCTCATGGACTTTTCCATGATCCTAAAATTTTCTTTGTATCCCCATAAGATACAGCGCCCCCCTCCAGCAGGAAGTAGTAAGAGAAGCTACGCCCAAATTCCCAAATTATATGTAATTTTACTTTGTTAAGGTTAAAACCTTCCTTTTTTTTAAAAAAAAAAAAGGGGGGGAAGTGCTGTGGGATGTTCTGTATGTCAAATGTGTTGCTGATTAGTCAATAATTAAAACACTGATTGGCCATTGGCTAGGCAGGAAGTGTAGGCGGGACAAGGAGGAGAATAAAGCTGGGAAGTGGAAGGCTGAGTCAGAGAGACACTGCCAGCCGCCAAGATGAGAAACAGCATGTGAAGATGCCGGTAAGCCACGAGCCATGTGGCAAGGTATAGATTTATAAAAATGGATTAATTTAAGCTGAAAGAACAGTTAGCAAGAAGCCTGCCATGGCCATACAGTTTGAAACCAATACAAGTCTCTGTGTTTACTTGGTCGGGTCTGACGGCTGTGGGACTGGCAGGTGAGAGAGATTTGCCCTGACTGTGGGCCAGGCAGGAAAACTCTACCTACACTGGGTGGTCTCGGGAAGAGGAGAAACCACGAGGCAAGTCCATGGGCCAGACCTTAAATGCCCTTAAATACCCTGGAAGTGTGGTCTGGAACATCTCAGGAGGAGGAGCCACTTGGTGGGCTTTCTCAGGGCCAGAGTCTGGAGAGAGGGGGGAGGGGGCGAGATGGGACTTCCACCTAAACATCTATGTCCCTTGCAGCTGGTGCCTCTTGCACTGAGATTTTGGGCACATCACCTTGGTAGCCACCATGTATGACATCCATGCAATGTCACTTTCTGGTCTTCTCGTTTCCTATTGCTGGTTCGGCCGCACTAGCTTCATTTTACCTCAGTATGTCTTCAAGTTACACAAACCCACGGAGCATTCCAGGCTGAGCTGGGCAACTCTTAGCACCGTGTGATGTGCTGGAAGGTACTTTCTGAGCACTCCAGGACTATGCATCTCTATCCCTGTACTTAACGGCATTCTCTGGTACCTGGGTTCAAATCTTGGCTCAGATACTGATGAGCTATGTGATGTCGGTCCAGATTTTGGCTCCTCTGCGCCTGGGTTTCTTCACCTCTAAAATGGAAATAATAGCAATACCAACTTCCTCACAGGGTCCTTGGGATTAAATGACACATAGGTTAGTGTTTGGAGTGGAGGTCGGGTAATACCAGTTACGAGCATTAACAAGTAGAAGAGGATTGCTCATTGAGATTGCTGGCTTCTAGGGCACAGTGGATGTGCAGGTGACCGGACTTTGTCCCTCCCAGAACTTCATTTGTTAGGGAGATAGTGTGTCAACCTTCTGTCACCAGACAAGCTGTGCTGCAAACTGAATTCCTCAGGATGGCCCTCACTGTCCCTTTTCTCTGTGTGCTGTAGGTTTACAGGACAACCCTTGGTTCTGTGACTGTCACATTTCTAGACTGATTGAGTTGTCGAAAGTTGCTGACCATGCTGTTATACTTCTGGATCCTCTGATGGTCTGCAGTGAACCCGAGCGCCTGGAAGGAATCTTATTTCAGAGGGCGGAGCTGGAACAGTGTCTGAAGCCCTCAGTGATGACCTCGGCTACCAAAATCACGTCTGCTCTGGGTAGTAACGTTCTGCTGAGGTGTGATGCCACTGGCTACCCTACCCCACAGCTGATGTGGACCAGATCCGACAGCTCACCAGTTAATCATACAGGTATAATTAGTATTCAGGCATGAACAAGTTCACAAAAATCTGGATTTCATCTCATGTTTTTTGTACAATTTTTTAAATTTTATTTTATTTTCATTTTTTCAAGACAAGGTTTCTCTGGCCACTAGCTCTGTAGACCAGGCTGGCCTCAAACCCAGAGATCTGCCTGCCTCTGCCTCAGAGTGCTTGGAGTAAAGGCATGTGCCTCCACACCTGGCTTCTTTGTGCATATGTTAAATGGCTGGCTAATTCTCTTAATGTCAAGACTTATAGTGTTGTTTTTGTTTTCAGTGGTGGGAACTGAGCCCAGGGCCTTATGTATGCTAGGCATGTGCTCTGCCAGCAAAGTTACACCTTTAGCCTACAAATTCAAATGAGATTTTGTTCAGTTCTTAGACTCAAACCCAGGGCTTTCTGTACTATAGTCCTAGTTGTCCGGACACAAGGGATTTCAAGAGTACATTTTATTGATCAATATTTTCTCACTTTGTATAAATACTTAGAAAAAAGTTAGATTTTCTTCCCTTATGTAGAAACTGCATGTAGAAGTAAATAAATGATTGCCACCAAGGCTTTTGTCTTGTCCTGTTACCTTGGGTACACCCGCTTTAAAGTACAAAACCTTGGGAACATTTTTAAAAAGGCTTTCATATTGAACAACTCCATTTAAATACTAAATTATGCAGAGAGCTTACTTTGGAGCAGAAATATAATTTTTAGAAATATTAATTATATAGGCATTTCAAACCCTGTGATGATCAAGTCCAGGCTTTGGTCCACTTAAGTAAAGATAGGATTAGTCTTGGGACTCTTACAATAAAATTATGATTGAGGTTAAAAAAAATAAAAATTGATGGAATAGAGAAGTTAAGGTCTAATATTCCTGTAGCTTGCTAGCAGATGGCCCACAGTTTAAGTTACTGACTTCACATCTGGGCTATTGGTACCCTGCCTTATGTAATACTATCCTTCTGGAAGCTTCTGTCTTGGTTTCAGATAAAATTTTAGTGTTTAGCAAATAAATACTGCAATTTCCTGCATATTTCTATATATTACTCTGCAAACAAGTGAGCTTATAATTCTCTAGTTTATCTGATTTTAATACGGGATGGATGACAGCTGGGCAGTGGTGGCACATGACTTTAATCCCAGCACTCAGGAGGCAGAGGCAGGCGGATCTCCGAGTTCAAGGCCAGCCTGGTCTACAGAGCAAGTTCCAGGATAACCAGGGTTCACAGAGAAATTCTGTCTCAAAAACCAAACAAACAAAAAGGGATGAATGGTTTGGAATAGAAGCCATAAGTCCCCTATGCCCAACAATGACCTCTGGTGCCTACTGGGCATGTGCGTAGATTAAATTACAATGAGAAAACATCTTGAGAAATAGTTAAGTAAAGTCTTGTTGTTGTGGTGGTTTGGGTTTTGTTTGTTTGTTTTCTGTGTAGCCCTGAGTAGAGTCTCATGATAAACATTTTATAGATTCACAATCGAAATTGGGAGGCAGCTTTGAAAATTAATTTTCTGATCCTCTTGTTTCATAAACGCAGAGACACGGGTCTGTACTTACCAGTTTCCTTGTGTACAATGCGTGCTGCTTGGGAGACAAACGTTTACTATGACCTGGATCTCCTGATTTCCATCCCCACACACCCGGATCTCCTGATTTCCATCCCCACACACCCGGCTCTCCTGATTTCCATCCCCACACACCTGGATCTCCTGATTTCCATCCCCACACACCCAGATCTCCTGATTTCCATCCCCACACACTTTTCAGCAATCATGTCCTTGCAGACAGACCCCACAGCACTCGGCAGGTCCCAGACTTGGTATGAACAATTTTCAGCACTGTCACCTTCCAGCAAGAGCATCCAAAGTGCCCTTTCCCCAAACTGTGTGAGAGGGACGTGTACAGAATCTCTTTCCCTCCTAGTTGGTGGGATTGCTCCAAATTGTCCTTTTTCCCTCATGGAATACTCCTCTGTTTTCTTCTAGTAATTCAGGAGTCTCCAGGAGAAGGAGTCAGATGGTCCATCATCAGCTTGACAGGCATCTCCCACAAGGATGCTGGGGATTACAGGTGTAAAGCCAAAAATCTAGCCGGGACATCAGAAGCTGTGGTTTCGGTGACTGTTGTTGGTGATGTTACGACCACCCTAGTACCGGACACTACAGGAAGGAGCCCTGGAGAGCACCCTGAACAGGATCCCCGCCCAGGAGCAGGAAGATCAACACCTCTACCTAAGTCGTGGTTGTCGCCCGGGCTCTCTTCTACTGCGTCCTATTCCACTCCCTCGACTGCTCTATCTACATCGACATCGCCTCCTTCTTCCTTCTCTTTGCCTCCTGTCTTCTCTGTCGCCTTGGCAACCACAAGTGTCAAAACCAGCAGCTCAGAAAGCACCATCAGGATGAGCCACCAGCCCTTCCTGCTCCACCCCAGCGGCGGCGGGAAAAGCAGCCCAGAGCTGGAGAAGAATGGAAGTAAGTTTCCTCCAGTCAGTGCAAGTAAGAAAGAGGAGTTGGCGTTGTTGGACCAGGCAATGCCCACGGAAACAAATGCCACTATAGACAACTTCAGGGTGGCCAGCGAAACGGGAGTGAGTGTGACTTTGACATGGAACACCACCACACGGGGGTCTGCTGTGACTGTGCTGTATTCCAAGTACGGAGAGAAGGACCTGCTGCCAGTGAATGCAGACTACAGCAAGAACCAGGCCACCATAGATGGCCTGGAACCCGGCAGTCAGTATATAGCATGTGTCTGTCCCAAAGGAGCGGTTCCCCAGAAGGACCAGTGTATCCTGTTTTCTACCAACAGAGCGGAAGAACGTGACTCACAGTGGTCACTCCTGATCGTGGTGACCAGTACTGCCTGTGTTATAGTCGTGCCCCTCATTTGTTTTTTATTATATAAAGTCTGCAAATTGCAATGCACATCGGACGCTTTCTGGGAAGATGATTTGGCAAAAGAGACCTATATCCAGTTTGAGACCCTGTCGCCCAGATCACAGAGTATAGGAGAGCTGTGGACACGGAGGCACAAAGACGATGCAGAGAAGTTGCTGCTGTGTTCTCGGACAAGTGTGGACTCTCAGGTGAACTACAGAAGTGATGGCTGTAGACCAGAATATTATTGCTGAGGTTTTGCAGGTGAGATGAATGTGAGCAAAGAAGTGAGGGTGCTCAGGCTGTCATAGACCCTCTGTTGGATGGCTTTTGAACAGACTTTCATATCGTCTATGAGAATCACAAATTTTTTTGATGTATTTTTTTTGCCGGAGCTGAGGACCAAACCCAGGACCCTGTGCTTGCTAGGCAAGCACTCTACCACTGAGCTAAATCCCCAACTCCTTGATGTATTTTTTTAATTTAGTTGAGGAACATCTCAATTAAAACAACAAATGACTTTGATTTTTATTACACAAATGACATCCATATAAATAATTTTGAGTGGTATTTAATAAGCTTATAATAATTTTCGGACAATTTAGTTCCTAAAATAAGTTGACAAGAAAATGCTTATGATAGGTAAACTCTGCATTTAAAATAGAGTATATTTTGATCTGTGAGGAAATGCTAGCATAACCAGCTAAGCCTGGTGGCCCTGACTCCTCAAAGTGCTATAGGGGGTTTGCTGTGGGCATTCGCCACTGCTGCCTGGTGCGTGAACAGAGACCCTAACGAAGTTTATGTCCACAAATAGCTTTTTCTATCTCATTCTTTGAAGTCAGATATTAGTCAGCTTAAGTACAAAAAGTGGAACATAACAAACACAAAACTTCTGTAGAACTAGGGTTTGTATTTTAACACGGTACCCAGTGGTTGTATTTTCAACACGGTCGATGGACTGTATGGGTCTCGTGATGTGTTAATCTAAGAACAACCTCCTTCATTTCTTTCCACCTCCCCGGTTATCTCACCATCTCCCTTCCCTTCCCTTCCCTTTCTTCATCTTCTAAGGGGCAGAAGATGCACAGCAGCCAAAGGACTCTAAGCTCAGCTGTCTTCTGCCTCGACCTGTTTGTGCTCTCTAGGTAGAGAGAAGGCCTTTGATACTTCTTTTCTGTTGTTGTTGAGGCATAGTGGTTTGCTCCTTTGTGTTTGTTTTTTCATTGTTGTGGGGATTGGTGTTTTCCCTGAACATACATCTGAGGACCTGCTGTTTGCCCAGTGCCCTCAGAAGACAGAAGTGGGCCTCAGGTTCCCTGGGACCAGAGATTAAACAACTCATTCATTGCTGTGTGATGAATGGATCAAGAAGAAGAAGAAGAAGAAGAAGAAGAAGAAGAAGAAGAAGAAGAAGAAGAAGAAGAAGAAGAAGAAGAAGAAGAAGAAGAAGAAGAAGAAGAAGAAGAAGAAGAAGAAGAAGAAGAAGAAGAAAAAGAAGAAGAAGAAGGAAGAAAGAAAGAAAGAAAGAAAGAAAGAAAGAAAGAAAGAAAGAAAGAAAGAAAGAAAGAAAATAAATAAATAAATAAATAAATAAAAATACACAAGCAGGAAGACCGCTCTCAAACTCCCTCTATACAGCTGGTTTCAGGCTAACAACAAACTGGGTAAAGTCATGGTAACACAAGAATGCTGGAAAGCAAGAAAGCTAGTGAGTCACCAAGAAAGAGAAAGAGGCCAAGAGCCCTGGTGAACAGAGATTCAAAAAGGGAAGTACAGACATCCATCAAAAAGATTATCTGCCGTGACTGAGTTGGCTCTATCCCGGAGGTGCCGGGCTAGTTGAGCACATGCAAGTCAGTAAATGTAATTGTCTCACTCGGGGTTTCCGTTGCTGTGATGGACACCCTGAGCAAAGCAACTTGGTCAGAAAGGGGATTGTTTGGCTCACACTTCCACATCACAGTTCACCACCAAAGGACGTCAGGACAGGAACTTAAACACAACAGGAACCTGGAGGCAGGGGCTGATGCAGAGGCCATGGAGGAGTGCTGCTTACTGGCTTGCTCACCAAGGCTTGCTCACCCTGCTTTCTTATAGTATGCAAGGCCACCAGCCCAGGGGTGGTACATAGGCCTTCCCACAACAATCACTAATTAAGAAAATGTCCTACAGCTCAGTCTTATGGAGGCATTTTCTGAATCGAGGCTCCCTCCTCTCAGATGACTCTAGCTTGTGTCAAGTTGACATAAAACTGCCAGCACAGTAATGAACCACACAAATGGACTGAAAGACAATGCCCGAAAAGGGCATTTTAAGATTTTGAAAGAGAAATGTCAGTGGATTCATTTGGTCAAAAAAAAATATTTTTTTTTTTTAGTTAAAAAAAATCAGGGAAATTACAGTAGGGCCATGAACACATGGGATAAAGACTTCATAAATGCTGTTTAGTTTTTTTTAAATAATCTTTTTACAAGTATTGTACGCATCGTAAGAGTGGTGTGTAGTGTGGCTATGAAGATTGATGAAGGGCATAGTGTGCAGCCCAGCATTTCAGAGGACTGACATTGTCACTTAGCAGTGTTTTGCATCCTGGCCTGGGGATATCGGGAGACAGGGCTACTTCACTACAGGCCTAGTCATGAACTGTGAGAAAGAGCTAGCCTTTGCAAGAAGTTCTATTTGGTTTACGAAGGAAGCACCTGGTAAGTAACATGGCTGAAGACAGACATGAGGAAGAGAAGCATCCATCAAACTTGGAGAGTGTTCTCTGGACTGTGATTTCCTAGTCTGTGTCATCTACTCTTTGAAGGAGTGTGGCCACGCCACCAGCATGTGGTCCCTATCCACCTTATACAGCACTTCCAGAATGAACTGTTAACCAAGACTGACCTTTGATGATTGCCCAAAGGAGGGAAGCTGGCCTGTGGCAAGCCAGCCAACGCTTAGACCTGAAAACTGGTAAGAAGAGGGGATTTGGGACTTAAATGAATGATGACCTCCATTCCCAAGGGAGCATTGAGAAAGCGACTGGTGGCCAGATGTGGTCGAGAACCTTGGTGCTGCCCCACAGACTGCTCCACAGTGGGCCTGGAGGGTGTTCTTCATTATGTCCTTTACTGCCTTCTGAACGTACTTCTGTGTGCCTCTGTTGTGGAGGCTGCCACCAGGCAAAACCTGCCAAAGTTATTCTTGAGTTTGTCTGACCTCTTGGGAAGATGGACGGGCTCTGATGAGGAGGAAAAATCTGGAAGCACTGAGTGCCACATGATATGTCTCCAGTTCCAGATGTGCAGAGGAGCATCTCACTTAGAAGTTCCTTGGAACCATGATGCTAGGTAGCAAAGTAAGGCTAAGGGGCAGCTTCTCTTTGGGGAGCTTGACAGTTGTCCACCAACAGAGGGACTCTCCACAGACTCATGGATTAAACCCACTAGCAGAATCACAATATAATGAACTGAAAGGATGTGACTGTAGTCCTCTGCCCTTCCAGGTACTGTCTCGGTGAGGCAGTATGATCTCTTAAAGGGCATGTCAAGCCCTGTGACACCTGCTGGGGTTAGATGGCAGCAGTCCCTGAGTAACATGCTCAAGTCCTTCTGCCAAGTAGATTGAGGGCTTTGAAATAATAATCCCAAGTTTGCTCAGTCACCACGCCACAGACAGGACCCAGGCATTGCCCATCACAGTCAAGCTCTCAACTGTTACCGCCACATTGTCCTACACAGCACCTGGCTTGGCTGCTTGGGTACCTCTCGTGTGACTGCCCCTGGAGAAGCATGGCTGTTCTGTCTTGGTTACTGTCTTTCACTCCTATCTACAATCTTACCCACTCTTTGGGTTCCCTTGACATCCCTTGGTGTGGCTAGAAATCCTGCCAATGTTCCGACTCGCAGGTGCACAGTGAGGGAGATCATAGAAGAAACCATTACATCAAACTATATTCCCTGTGCAGTGAAGATTTTGAGGCATAGGATAGATTTCTAAAGTTGTGTCAGGAGTCCTGAAATATTCTGAGAAGCAAGTTCCGATAAAATTTATTTTGTGGAAGACACATGTTGGCTTTTAATGTACTACATCCTAGAAATTATAGGTAGCCGGAGAATTAAAAGTTATTGATTCTAAACATCTCCTTGTTATAAAGAAAAAAGAATTTTTGTTTAGACTCTAAAACTTCCCAAGGTTTGTAAGTTCCCCATTTTCCCTCCTCTTTGCCTTTATCTTTCTCTTTGCCTTTCCCCTCCCTTTTCTGTTTTTTCCCTCTCCTCCCCTCTCCTCCCCTCCCCTCCCCTCCCCTCCCCTCTCCTCCCCTCCCCTCCCCTCCCCTCCCCTCTCCTTCCCTCCCCTCCCCTTTCCTCCCCTCCCCTCCCCTCTCCTTCCCTCCCCTCCCCTTTCCTCCCCTCCCCTCCCCTCTCCTCCCCTCTCTTCTCCTCCCCTCCCTTCTCCTCCCCTCCCCTCCCCTCCCCTCTCCTCCTCTCCCCTCCCCTCCCCTCCCCTCCCCTCTCCTCCCTTCCCCTCTCCTCCCCTCCCCTCCCCTCCCCTCCCCTTTCTTTTCCTTTCTCTTCCTTTCCTTTCCCTCCTATGTATCCTTCCTTGGTGCTCTCACCGCTGAGTGCATTGTCTTATGATCTAAAGCTTTTAGTTTAGTATTCATTGTTAGGATTTTAAAAATAATTTTTACGAATAATTTTGTTAAATTTATGTTAGATTAACTTATTTTAACTTAAAAGGTCAATAAAATTTTATTTATTTACTATGATACAGGTGCCATTCAGTTTTGTCATCATGATTTTTTAAAGATTCAGATAAATAGTAAATTATGCACACTGTATTAGCAATTCTATTGCTGTGGGAGAATGTTGCAGACTTCTGAGCCCACCAGTGGGTGTGGGTCTGGCACCCAGATTACACAAAGACAGTTTGTCAAGACAGGAGGCCTGGAACATCAGACATGGTATGTTACTGATTTCCTTCAAAATCAAATCCAGCCTGGAGTTGATTTTGACCATCAAGGCAAAGCTGGTTGGAGGTGTGGGCTCAGGAGGCTGGGAGAAAGCCCTGGGTTATCCTCAGCTCAGTGTTAGCACATGAGGTGTGCTGCAAGTGATTCAGGACTAACAGTGAAAGCTGCAACCCTGTAAGTGGTCTACTTCAAAAACATGCACATTGGAGGTATAGTCAAAATACCCCAGTGATGTCATTGCTAGCCTGCTCTTTTAAGTATGCTTTCTCAGGTAGGGAAGACTGTCATATTGGGCAGCACAAAATCCATACAATTAATGGTTTAGAGTGTTACTGGAGACACTGTAGTGAGCCAACCCAGTGACATACAGCCAATGCATGCCACTTAAAAGTGATTGTGAGGTTCGGCAAGATGGCTCAGCAGGTAAAGGCACTTGCTGACAATGGCATTCTGATGACATGAATTTGATCCCTGGAGCCCACGTTAAGAAGGAAGAAGGGAACTGACTCAGCACAGTTGCCCTCTGGTCACCAGAGACGCACCATGACACACACGTGCCACACACCACACTAACATTACGTTTCCCCCAATGATTGTATATTTTACACTTAGGAGAAACACTTTATTTTGTTATCATGTGCTATAACGTGGAACATACTGAAATATTTAGATTCTTTTTTTTTTTGAAACTTTTATTTATTTCCGTTTTCTGTGCCTGAGTCTTTTGCCTGTGTATGTCTGTACACAATATGTGTGCGGTGCCTGTAGAGACCAGAAAAGGGCATCAAATCCCCCGGGACTGGAGTGACAGACAGTGGTGAGCCACCGTGCTGGTCCTGGGAACTGAGCCCTGATCCTCTGGAAGAGCAGCCAGTGCTCTTAGCTGCTAAGCCATCTCCCCAGCTTTAAATACCCAGCTTCTTAAAATGTTCAAAAAAAGGTAGCACTGAATAGAGCCATGTAGTGGGTAGCCATTCCAGCTTTGATCTGGAAGTTCCAACCCCCATTGAGACTTCGGCAACTGTCATGCCTACAAGGCGGGGCCAAGGGAGGCGCCTGGGGACCCGAGATCTGGATCGGCGGGCGCTCGCTCGAGGGCAGGACCCTGGATAGTGGAGGTGGACCGAGCAGAGCTCCAGAGAACACCGCTGGACTGTGATACACCTTCCCCAGACTCCGCGACCTACCTATCCCTTGATTTGTAAGTTATGCCATTAAATAAATCTCCCTTTAACTACGTGGAGTGGCCTTAATAATTTCACCAATATCTGGCGCCCAACGTGGGGCAAGAGTTTCTACCTAAAAACTGAGAAAAAAGATTCTAAAACAGAACTAAAAACAGTTCCTAATTGTCTCTCTCAAATGAGTGGCAGCTGCCGGTTTGAGCTACTGGCGTGTGCGCGCAATCTGCAGTATGGCGGGAATGAGACCTTTGCAAGTGGCACTTTGAGCTGCATGGTGGATTTAGCCTTTGCTGGTGCAGA